TCCTATTTTGGCTCTTAAAATGATATGCTAATCCATTTGTGTGTGTAGTTTATTGCTTCTCACACTGCTTTTGAATTGTGTTTGACTTAACTGGCAATTACTGTGAGTTCTATATATATTTTTTGGAATGCAGTGGAAGGTAAAATGATATAATCTAAGGAAAAATGAGGTTTGAAAATCTTCCACTGTTTTGCTAACGTGTCCTAGTTTTGGCTTGCCTTTTTATTAGTTGCCGAAAATGGAATGCTTTTGAATTCAGAAGTTCTTTTCCATAGGTTAGAAAAGGATGACATCGCAAAGAGAAAAGACCGAGCAGGTTTAGATTTTAACAAACTTGTTCTAGCGATCATGTGATCCAAAACCTGTTAGTTGTTATCCCCTTTCTTTTCTATTCTTTTTTTTTTTTTGGTTCGGAGGTGGGGATGGCTGGAGTGGAAAAAGGTTTTCTTGCCTTGTCTTGGGAACATTATGTATGCAGGAGGTGTGTGGATGTATGTTCTATGATGCTTTTGATATCAGTTTGTTTGAGTGCTGTTTTGGTTCAGTGTTATGAAATTATATGTGATAGTATCATCACAGCAATTATTCTTCTATCAGGCACCATGTTTCGGTTTATGCAGTGTTATTTCATGATACACATCAAAATTCGTTTCTGTTTGTTGAAAATTTCTTGTAGACCAATTATTTGGCTATCGAGTAATCTGGGATTTTCCCTGAAAGTGTTTTCTGTTTTTTTTTCAATAGTTTGGTAGATGGTCCTGGAAAATGTGGCGGTAATCCTTTTTTTATTTGAATTATATCAATTGCCATTTTTGGCCATTTTTTGTTGCATGTAAAACACAGAGGGGTGTGATCAATGTGATCTATACTACTTATGTCTCAGTTTTTAATTTATGAGTCTTCTGATTCCATTGACGTCTCCTTTCATTCAATGCACACTTATTCACGTGAGCTCAATGGCGCTGTGGAGTTTTGTTAATTATTCAATTCTTTGGTTCAGCGATTCTTAGGTACAAGTGGAAATTGAACAATATTACCTCCTTTAGCTTTTATGGCCTTGCTTAACTTGCTATGATTAAGACTTGCTTTTATTGACCTAAAAAAAGGTCTTGCCAGTAGGTGGTGGTGTTCAGACAATTTATTCCTTGTAATCATCCTACCAGTGTTTGGTAGAAATGCTACTGACAGTTATCTTTCAACTGGTTGAGCGAGGTTCTTTTGATGTTGTTTTATCCTGAACTGATTGGTATTGCTTTTAATGATGAGTTGTTGAACTATAAAAATAAGGCGCAAAGAAAATTTGGAATTTGCTTGTATTTCGATGTTTTATTGGAAGGAACATTAGAATTGCTAATGACATTTACCGGTAAGCTATTTATGCCTAAAATGCTTTCAGCTCGAAGGTCAAGCATGGTTTGGAAAATATAGGATTTGAAGTTAATAGGAATGATATTTTGAGATTCACAATTTTTTATGCATTGATAAATTGCCCATTTTGGTCACTCCAACTTGCATTTAAAATTTTCTTAGCTAAGAGGTATTTTCAATCGGGAAATGGAAATAATCGTTGTAATATGTGGGTGTGCTTGAGAGGTGAGAGTTGATGTTAGAGAAATGCTTCGATTGTTAAGTATGAAGGCCTGGATTTGTCGGGGTTCTTGGTGGCTTTAGTAGAGGACCGGATTGAATAGCAATGCGTAGAATGGTGTAACCGGTTTTACTGAAGCTGGCTATCTGTCACAAGTTGACAATCGAGGGTGGGACTTGGGCCGCTTTGGCTTAAATCTTCGTTTTCTTGGAAAAAATATTTGTGGTTGATTATACGCAGTAAACTATAATATAGTATGAAAATAAAAACAAGCTCACTATGCGTTGTTCCTTCTATTTTTTCCTTTTTGTTCAAACTTGGAAAAATGAATCAGAGGTTTCATCAGAACCAACAAATTAGGTCCATGGGAGCAAGCCGAGGGTCATAAACGTTGTCTAAAAAATAGAACAATGAGGTGTTATCGTTACGTTACAATATACGTGAATGCAAAACATTAAAATATGTTTTATTTGATATTTTATCGGATGATATCATAGTATTTTGTGTCCCATGTTCATGCAAGACATATTTTAAACTAATAATAAACTCTAAATTTGTATTGCTTGCATCTATATAAAAATGAGTTGACTATTTCAATGTTTGATCACACCGTGATTTTTTATTGTATTTTTTCCCATCGTGTTCATACAACGTTCAACTAGTTGCATATTCTTTCCCCGCCATGAAGCGTGTGAAAGAACTCCTCTGTTTTTAAAGCAACACTGGCTATGAATTAACTATTTTGCATCATTTTATTTGTTGATTTTTCTCTCTCGTTTCTTTGATGCAATTAATGAAAATACATATGCTTACAACCCAGCTTCGCCTTTATCTATTCGTTGCACAAACGTTGTATGATTAAGTACAATTATTTATGTTTATACCACTAACTTCACACGTTTTATATGAATAGGGGCTCTTAAAACATCTCGAAGGATAGTATTGTCCTTCGAAACACACAGTGTAGCTATCCATTTTATATTTTTGAAAAGCTATTGTTTGATCCACAGCATTCATGTAAATTACTAGTTTATTGTTTTCATGTCGAGCATTGATGATTCGTTTTGACTAGCTAACTATAAGATTCTCGTGTGTACAGAAAAAATATCACTTGACTTGAACTTGATTTTGCACAATATTAGAACTCAAGGGATTATAATTGACAATTGGGAAAAAATAAAATCAATCTCTTGGAAAAAGAAAACAAAAGGATGTGGAATTTATAGAGATGAGAGATAAAAAAAAAGATAAGAAAAACATTAAAATATGATTTTGCGCATTACCAGGCTACTTTTGTACATTACGAGATACAACTGGTGTTTATAAATAAACAAGCTTGCAATGAAATTATTGGCACCCCAAATCTATATCTCCAATGGAACTGGTATATGTTACGATAATAACTATCAACTTGCAAGTTTTCAGTAATATCAGACTATTACTCCCTGCTATATTTTTGTAATTATTCTATAACCACCATCATTATCATTATCATCCTGCTTCTCGTTATTTTTGTTATTATTATAATATCATATCGCTAGGCAACAACTATTCTTTATTAGCACATCATATACTTATACTCGGTATGGGTCCATCATTATCTCTTTGCCAACGTAACAATTCATAATATTACTAAATTGACCATCATATTTTATACTTCTTCCAACGATGAAAACTACATAAATTATTTGCTCATGAAACATGCTCCACCTACAATGTGACAATATTTTGATGAATAATGAGTTCTTATACATTAGTTTTGAATTAGCATCATTGAGGCGAGAGCTCGCCGGTCATGACAAGAAGAAGAAGAAGAAGAGACCTCGTCGCCATTTTCACTCAAAGTTTTGTGTCTGATCATTATATTATTATAATTATAGAAAACATTAAAATATTTAATCTGGAAATATTGTTTATATGAACAGTTAACCATCTTAAATATATATTTTTATTGGGTTCTTTTCTTTTCATTTGTATCATTCTTTTGTTTACCAGGTATTTTTTGCTTTCCAATTAACATTTGTGGTTAAGTTTTGCAAATGGATGCCTATTAAACCACGAAATGGTTTTTGGATTATTAACAATTTTGACCATTTTTTTTCCAACTCCCCTCCTGTTTTGCCAAGTTTTTTTGCTTTTCATTTAACAATTATATTTTAGTTTTGTAAGATTGATATCTGGTAAATTTTAAAATGATATTTGGAATCATAAACATGCAAGAAAGAAAAAAATAATAAAAATACAATAAAAAACATAATTTATTGTGGATTGCAAATAATTATTATGAAAAATAATAATAAAAATAATAAAAATGCAATAAAAAATTAATTTATTGTGGATTGCAAATAATTATTTATAATTTTTTTATTTTCACTGGGTGTTTTTATTCATAATTTAATATTTTCATAGATGTGAGATCATGTTTAAAGTTTTATTTTGATTAATTTTATATAAAACTCTCATAATATTAAGTTTCTATGATGAATTAACATTTGATTTGACATAATAAAATTTAGTTTTATTCATTCAAACCACATAAAATTTTAAAATAAATATTTAAGTTTTTTTTCAAGAAATAATATATTTAAATAACCTTTCTGACTCAATATTTAATTTAAATTAATAAATTTATTAATATGTATAATTTTTAATTTATTTTTATAAATAATCTGCGAGCGGGGCAGCATGCGTTACCTCGTCCCCTGAAATCACAAGCAAAGTCAAAATCCTTGGCTGCTGATACATAAATAAACACCAAAGGAGTACAAAACAGGCACCTTCCTTGATCCGTGCATCGTTTGGAAAGGTGGACGCCCCCTGTAATCTCTACTGGGTAGTTTAATATGAAATCGATGGGTATTGAAATGATTTGAAACGAATTAAATATATTTTAAATTTAATAGATAATATATAGGATATAAATATTGTTAAATCTAACTTAAACTCCAAAGAGCTTAAACTAAAATATATATATTTATATTATATAAATATAGTTATAAAATATTTATATTTCAAACATAATATAATATATACATACCTTGTCATCAATATGAATGATATATATATATATATATATATATATATATATATATATATTATTTTACTTTTTATTGATGAATAAATAATATAAAATAATAAATACCAATTTTATAAATATCTACATGTTTTGCCTAATATATAATTATTAGGATATAAATATCAAAAAATTCAATTCATGTATATATTTTATATTTGATTAGAATTTTAAGAAATTCTAAATTAGTTTTTTATATGTATTTTTAGATGATCGTGACATATTAATATTAAAAATAACTTTTAAAAAAAATATTATTTTAAACTATTTGTTTTTTCACTGGCAAACACCCCTTAGACAACCTGCTCATACTTTCACGTGACCAGGCTCCTTAGCCAACACCTGGCTCATACTTTCACGTGACCACACCACCATCGCCTCTTCATTGCTCTTTTCATCACTTCGCAGCTATCCTCTCTTTTCCCCAGCTTTATCTCTCGCTGTTCTCAGGTATCGTCTTTTGTTTTTCCTTTTTCTTCCTCTTGTGATTGCTTCTGAATACTTCTTTTGTTTAACTTGTATCAACCATCGATTCGATAATCGAGTTATCGATCATTTAAGTGACTGTTTATTACACGATTTTGACTAAAGCCTCTATAAATTTATTGCCTTCTTTTTTTTTAGGCGTCTGCTTCAGACAAATTTCAGATGGCTTCATCGACTTTAATTTGCGAAACCCAGCCATGGAAGGACTTGAAGGTAAAGTGCTTATTACTTTCTGTATGATATAAAAGCTACTTATAAAGGCATTATTAATAAATCGGGCTTTTTTTTGGCAGTCTCATGTTGAGGACATTAAGAAGACTCATTTACGCGAGTTGTTGAGTGACACTGACCGATGCAAGTCAATGGTGGTGTAAGTTTGTTTAATGTTCTCTCTGTTTCGATTTTTTTATCTTACTGTATTGTTGTGGATTGGGTTTGTAATGTGTGTGTGCAATTTCGATAGTGATTTTGATGGAATAACGCTTGACTACTCACGCCAACGAGCCACCCCTGGTACCATGGATAAACTCTATAATCTGGCAGAGGTAAATTTTGAGTGGTTCTTTTTTTGTTTTGGAATTTCTGCTGCCAGCGGACGGCAGCCTCTCAAACCACCATGTGTGGGACGTAATAATTGCTCCATCAACTTTTTCTTCCCACTCTCTGCACCCCAGTAATGTTAGTTTGAAAGGATTCTTTGCAATGTAACTATCTAATGCAAGTCACTTTCCATTACACAGGGAGCTCATCTCAAGGAAAAGATTGATCGCATGTTCAATGGGGAGCATGTGAGTCACATTTTATTTTTGTAATCTTACTCATGCGTAAGCTTATGTGAAATTGGTGTGCTGTACTTTTTTCTGTCAAGAAATTCGCTGTCCTTTATGAATTCCTGTTCTATGATCTTGCGTTTTGTCTTTATAATGCCTTATTTAAAGACCCCTTTTGTTAGAGCAGAGGGTGTCCAACACTCATGATTTTACTTATTAACACTCATATCACTGATGTTTGATAAGTTTTGTATTTTTATTTGTGTATTTTTGACAATATGGTTGTATGAACATGCTGTCTGATGTTAGTGTGGATCTGTTCAGATAAACAGCACTGAGAATAGGTCAGTGCTTCATGTAGCTCTTCGTGCTCCAAGGGATGCAGTTATGCAAAGTGATGGCAAGAATGTTGTACCAGATGTCTGGAATGTTCTGGACAAGATCAAGGATTTCTCTGAGATGGTCCGCAATGGCTCTTGGGTAATCTTCAGTTCCTTTCTGAATTTCAGTTGATATACATGATGCTGAAGCTGTCCAATAATGAATTGAATGTTGGTAGGTTGGAGCCACAGGAAAAGCACTCACTGATGTTATTTCAGTCGGCATTGGTGGCAGTTTCCTGGGTCCTCTTTTTGTGCATACCGCTCTTCAAGCAGGTTATCTGATGCTTTATTTACTAAAGCTGCACCATTCTGTTTTTTTATATTATTCTCATTGCATCATGGTTGTGTTTTCTTAATAAAACCTGTTGACCTTGATTGATGGCAAAATCCTGCTTAAATTTTATTGTTTACTGATTGCAATTTACAGATCCAGAGGCCAGCAAATGCGCTAGAGGACGCCAATTACGATTGTAAGCATTTACTGTAACTTCAAACTTCATTATTTTCCGTGCTAGTGTTATACAATCTTCTCATCCTAAACCTACAGATATAGGCTTCAATGTTCAAATTGTTTTAGCAATGGTCCGCTTGCTTTCAACAATGATTATTGAGCTTGTGCAATAAATTTTAGAGCTCATTGCTTCTAACCTTAATCAATAGAAGAGGGGAACAATCCCACGAGATACTATCTAAAATCTCGACCATTTCATGTGTGACATTATATTTAGGATTCAGAGAAATTATGTTTCATCAGGTATTGTGTATTGCTGGGGATGAAGCTGCCAAGAGCTAGCAATATGCCTTTTCTTTTCCTTTCCTTTTGATTTGAGAGGAGGGGGAAAAGGGAACATTCAGAGGCTATATGTATCCTAAAAGTGACATTATTGATCATAGCGCATATCAGGGGAACAGTGCATCATTTAACTGGCCTCCCCTGAGTTGCACTACACATTATGAGATCCTCTCAGAAGTGATGTAAACACACAGATGACGTGCTTAATGTGCAGACAACTAGTTGTAGGTGCATTCATGGTTTAAGGGATCATCATATATGATTTTTATGATTATGTCTATGTTTACAAGGCAATTGTATCATTAGATTGTTTTACGATGCAAAATGATGCTCTTGTTTTTTTGGCATTTGCCAGTCTTGCAAATGTAGATCCAATTGATGTTGCTAGAAATATTGCAGGCCTCAAACCTGAAACTACTCTCGGTAAATAATAGTTGTTCATCATTCATGTCACCATTTACCATTTTGTTGTATACCTTTTACTTAAGCACCTTCTCTTACTTCAAATTCTAAATCCTTTTTTTTTTTTGTAATTACATGCAGTTGTTGTGGTTTCAAAAACTTTTACCACAGCTGAAACTATGCTGAATGCTCGAACACTAAGGGCATGGATTTCAAAAGAACTCGGGTCAGTGCAAAAATCTTCTTATCTCATTATTCTATAAGCATGCAGTATTGGGTGACAGCAGGAATTAAGTTAAGATCATTTTGGCAATAAAGAAAAGCGGAGGATTGATTTCAGAGTTAGAAAAGCATGCTTGCTAGGATTGAGAGAGTACTGCTTTAAATAGTTTGCATAAATGCTCCATGTCTGTCTTGTATTTTTTAAACTGCATTTATAAGTCTTGTAATTGCTCCATATCTCTCTCTGACTATAACTTGGGACCCTTCTGCAACTTATTTTCAGACAATCTGCAGTTGCCAAGCATATGGTTGCAGTTAGCACTAATCTTGCGGTAAAGTGACTTTATGTTGTTTGCACTCTCACATTCTTTAGATTTTAGGATGATTGAAGTTCTATGGTATTTTAAAAAATCATTTTCACCTCCCCTTTATATCATTTTCTATAAATGGCTCTTCTTTCTTCTTCTGTCTTTTAGAGATGCCCTTTTTTGGTATTTGGCTACCTTTTTACTCCTTTTTTCTTCTTTCTAATGCAGCTTGTGGAAAAATTTGGCATTGATCCTAATAATGCTTTTGCATTCTGGGACTGGGTTGGTGGAAGATATAGTGGTAGGTTTTATCTCTTTTTATGGACAGAATTATGGTGAACTTCATGCAGAATGCTAATTGTGTCATTGCTTGCAGTCTGTAGTGCTGTTGGCGTGTTACCGTTGTCTCTCCAATATGGTTTCACAGTTGTTGATAAGTATGGTAACTTCTGATTGTTTTAATTCACGCATTAGATTTTTCCTTCACCATTATTTTAGGGTCTGCAAGAAACAATGTCAAAAGTGCCAAGGATTCTCAATCTGTGGCTTACAAAGATGGATACTTAATGTACACTTATCACTTTTTTGTCCTCCATAGTTTCCTACGCATCTCCTAGTTACTTGCCTAGTCTTTTTTGCTATTTTGTTAGGATTTGTTATGTAGATAAAAACTTCTACTTTTCTACTCAAGGTTCTTGAAAGGAGCATCAAGCATTGATCAGCATTTCTATTCTGCACCATTTGAGAAAAATCTACCTGTAAGTGCTCCAACGTCATGAAATTCTATCAAATCTATGATTTTTTTATCCCAAAAATATAGTTTATGATTTCTACTAGTGTTACTTAATTGCTGTTAACATGGGTAGGCTCTGGATTAAACAGTTGGTATGATATATGATTACAGTCTTTGAGGTTCTCTTAGATTTGAAGCAGTTAGTATGGTGCTATATGTCATTTGCCTTGCTACTATCTATTTGGGAGATTATCTGGACAGGCACGAGTCCTATGTGATGAGATTCTAAAGACATGTTGATAACGTTCTGACTTTCTCCTTCAGGTACTTTTGGGTATGTTGAGCGTGTGGAATGTTTCATTTTTTGGATATCCTGCAAGAGTGAGTGTTTCTTCACTAGATCTATTTGAGTTACCACTCATTTAGAATTCCTAACTTTACCAGTGGTCCTATAACTTTTTCAACTACTCCTTTAGGCCATCTTACCTTATTCTCAAGCCCTGGAGAAATTTGCACCGCACATCCAGCAGGCAAACCTACTTAAGCTCAAACTTTCCTTTCCCTTTTAGTAGTAAATATGTAAAAAGAGAGAAAATCTGCTTATTAAAGTATTCAAGGCTTGTTTATTTTACTTAAATCTAGGTCAGCATGGAAAGTAATGGCAAGGGGGTATCTATTGATGGTAAACCACTTCCCTTTGAAACTGGTGAAATTGATTTTGGTGAACCAGGAGCATATGGTCAGCGTAGCTTTTATCAACTAATTCACCAGGTAATTTTCTTTTTGCTCTATACATTTGGTAGAAGTAAAATTAAGTAAAGGGATAACTGCGTTGATTTTCTTAAATTCAAATAATTTCCTAGTTCTATGAATTTATTCTTTTGAAGAAATCCCTTTATAACGTTGCTTCTGTGGGATAAGCTGTTTCTGGGTGCATTTATTTCTAATCTTGATATCTTTACGCAAGGTTTTGCTTCTTTTTCCTTAACATGCCCTTTCATGGTAAACTAGACATCTCGATGCTCAAGTATATGCACCTCAACAGCCTGTCTTTTTAAATGGAGCATGAAATTTAGTTCTGCATTTTGGATGGTTTCTAATTGAACAGTGGCATGCTTTTTTTTTCAATGTGTGTGGCACCAACTTCATTTCCCATTTGCTGCATATTTTTTAACTCCTCATCTTAAAATTTTCAGGGACGCGTGATTCCCTGTGACTTTATTGGTGTCATGAAGAGCCAGCAACCAGTATACCTAGAAGGTATTTTGTCAAGATTAAGATTTACAAGGTCAACTTTTTAAGATTTGAATTTTTAGTTATGCTTGATCTGATTTCAAATCAATTTGTTCACAGGAGAGGTTGCAAATAACCATGATGAACTCATGTCCAACTTTTTCGCCCAGCCAGATGCCCTTGCATACGGGAAGGTAGGTTTAAGCATTTATACATCTACTAAAAGGACAAGAAAAAAGATACAAGAAACTATATTTGCCTGTTATAAGGGCCAAGGTATATTACTGCTGTATCTGATTCATAGTGCAGGGGTTGTCTGCAGTGATGTTTAATTATTAATTTATTTATAATTTTTTTCAGACACCAGAAGAGTTGCAAAAAGAGAATGTTCCACAGCATCTCGTACCTCACAAGGTGAATCCTCAGACTTACTACAGCATAGCTTTATCAATTGGCAATTACCACCAGATGATTAATCTTAAGCATTGGTTTGTCTTGCCCAGACCTTCTCTGGCAATAGGCCTTCTCTCAGCCTTCTGCTCTCATCATTGGATGCTTACAAAATTGGACAGGTTTGTGGCTTCTGCTTTTTAATGAGGTAGTTGTGCTAATAGAGTTTTTGAATCCATTACAATTTAGAAATCATATGTTTGAGTTTGATGCTTTGGTTAGTGATTCTACTTCTTGTGGGAATTCTGCTAGCTACATGTCCTATTTTTTGGAATCCAGAAAAGATTTCCCATGATATAGCAACAGCAGCGACATGTAATCCATTATTGGGAATGTCTGTAACTGAATGTCGTGAAAAAAGTCATGTCCTGCACCCCCACCTAGCTTTAAGGTTGACCACTCTTCCAGTGCTTATGCTTACTTGAACCTGGAATCCCTTGCTATCCACATTCCATTCGATGTACTCAATTCAGGTTGCCCTTTCATAAAATGCATTTGTCGGTGATTGTGTCTGTTCTTTCATTCCTTTGTGTATATAAAGTCCCTGTGGTCTAATAGCTGAAAATCTGTCCTTTTCAGTTGTTGGCGATCTATGAACACAGAGTTGCTGTGCAAGGCTTTATATGGGGCATCAATTCTTTTGACCAGTGGGGAGTTGAGTTAGGAAAGGTATGAATTACCTCAGGAACTAGTTGTTTGATCCTTGCCAAACAAACATGTTGTCCAAGAGTTATGCTCTCTTCTGAACTAAATGTTACCTTTCCTGTTCTTGCTTTTGTGATTTTCCTTCTGGTATTCCTTGGTCCAAATGTCTCTTTCATTTTCTTAACAGTCGTTGGCAACTCAAGTTAGAAAGCAACTTCATGCATCTCGAGTGAAGGGAGAACCGGTTGACGGTTTTAATTTCAGCACTACAACAATGCTATCAAAATTTCTGAAGGTATGTGGAAATACTATAGCTGACAGCAGAAACATGTTACTTTAGGAACAAACTGCTGTAAAAAAAATTCACTGTAGCCAAATCGTTATTCTATCTGAACAGTTGTAGCAAGTTAAAGAAACATAAAATTAACCCTAATTATGGTAATGCCACTGAAATTGAGTTTTACTTGCAGGAAAGTTCGGAAGTTCCAGCCAATCCACCAACTATTCTTCCTCGGATATAACTTTGTTCCGTGACCTGGAGGTTTCAGCTTTGTTATACAACTTCTTGGAATCCTAAAGATGACATATGCAGAGGCACTTTTCGCTATTTTCTGAAATTTTCCTTTTGTTAAAAGGTTTCTTTCCAATACTAACAAGGCAATAATGATACCTGCAGTTATACTAGCCAGGTTCTCTCATGACTCATATGGAGGCCGAAAAATGAAATTTTTGTCCCTGAATTTTCTTATTCTAATGCTGCAAGTGTCATATTGTAAATAAACAATAACGTGGTAACAGAGAGCTCAAACGCATCAATGAGGTTAGCAGGAGCGTGAAAACCAACTGATACATTCTTGAACCCACATCCAAAATTCAAAGAAAGAGGAGAAAAGGATGAGTTGCTTCGAATTCCATTAATTGCTCGGGATTAATAATTTTTCTACGATTCAATTCCTTTTTTACACTGGTAAGCTACTTTATTTAATCAAATCAAATTTTGTTTAACCTACCCTTCGGTTCTTATTCGTGCATACAATATTGATTAAAAAAAAAAGAGATTTCAAGAATCAAACTCCTAACCACTTAAACAGAAAAAAATCATCATTTCAAAATTTTCTAGATTTATGCCAAGTTCTCTCTAATAGTCTAGTGTCGATTCCACCAAAATCTTGGGAGTATTGGGCCTGTTGGGAGCCACAGTTTATTGGTTGCGTTCGGTCTGCATATGTTTATACGATACATATTTGATTTATCATGTCCTTACAATATGTTTGTTGTTTCTTTGAGTTAAGAACTTGGTTAGCACGTGTAAATATTGTTCTTTCACACTTCTTCCTCTCCATTCTATTTCCTTTCTCTTTTTGGGATTTTTTTAATGACTCGATCAACCAAAAAAATTACAAAGAAGCATAGATAGAGAAAAGAATTTCGAGAATTAACATATTTTTGTCGGTTATGAAAGTAGAACAAGTTAAAATAATAAAAAAAAAAATAAATTAAACGGTTATACTGTCTGCACCGGTGCAACCCATAAAACAAGATTTAAATTTTAGAGAGTTACGCTGATCCCATTAGCGCAACAAAAATAAGAATTACGTTGATCCCATTAGCGCAACAAGAAAATCCCGAGGGTCATTCAAAGTGGCCTGAAGGTGAATTCAAGACATGGATATTCCACAGCACGTGCCACAGAAGGACCTGGTGTTCAAAATTCACAGCGCTTAAACATAGAGAAGGGGCTTATCTCTGTCAGCCCCAGACGAGTTCGAGGATTCTAAGAATCATGATTCATGAGCATATCGCATCTGTCGTTAAGCTTTTTCAGTTCCTCTAATGGGAAGGCTTGATTATAGGTTACATCTGTTCATTCTTCACAGTAAATTTTGGGGACTCTTTGGCTGCGTGTGCGTTTGTATATTTACTGAATTCTGTTAAAAACAGAGGAACCTTTTGTGTATGTTTGTATTGAAGAGGATTCTTAACATGAAATGTGAAGAGTGCAAACCATCCTCTGTGGAAAACCAAGGTCTCCCTGGAACCAGATGGGCACCTTATTACCAATTTAACAAAAAAAAAAAAAAGAAAAAAGCATGAAGACCTTCAGAACTCCAGAAGAGTGTGCTGCCTAGAAGCACTGGAGGCAAATGCCTCAGCAGCCTTGTGCTCATCAATGCCGAGACAAAATCGATCATTCATCATTTGTGCAAACACACACCAATGGGAAAACATCAGTAATTCATTCAGTTATGTAAAGGCAGTCACACTCATGGCAAGCTGAGATCGCTTTGTAAAAGATGTTGCGCCATTTGAGAAACATATCTAATGGATTCCCAAAAACTATTTAAACGAGAACTGGAAATCCTTTCCTATGAATAGGTCCTCCATGTAAATTGCATTAATTCATATATAAAAACACTTAAACTGGAATACCATGCACCTTTTTGAAACAGCGGGCCAACATGCAATTGGTCAGAAGCGACAAATCTACTTCTTACAAGATAACAGGATCTACAAATTTTATAACCGGCCAACCCCTTAAGAAAGAAAATACCAACAACTTGTGCCTAATGCTTCATCAAATATGCAGTTCCTCCTATAAAGTTACTGGTCTCTGGTTCGCTTCTTGCCATGTTGCAGCAGGCCACTGAAAGACTGCAAGCTCACACCAACATCTTCGTCATATTCAAGTCCAAGTTCTTCCTGCAGATACATAAATATATTTATTAAACCAAATTCCTGCAAAACCAAATTGCAAATTGCTGGCAATACATGAAACATATAAGTATGACCTTAAATTCTTTTAGATCCTTGGGTAAGTTCTCAGTTATAGCATCCCACACATCCTTGAACATCCTTTTCCGCTTTCTCCACTGACTTAATTTCTCTGAATACATTTCTGCAATTCCCTTCCGCTCTTCTGGCCTGACCAAGGTAACTCCTTCGCGCAATTTTACCAATTTGTCTTCCATTTCTTTAACCTGATACAGAATTCAAAAATCCTTAGCTCAGTCCATTCTTCTTCTTGGAAACAACTTCAAAGGACTCCACTAAACAATCACTTCAAAAACACGCGCCCATGCACAATTTACCTCCTTCTGCAGCTTGGCTTCTTTATGACGTATCTGTTCCAGCGTCAGGTTCGACTGCAAGTTTTTAATTTCTGCAATAGTGTACATCAACCCTCCCAATAGATTACTAACTTTCCTTAATAGTTCACAAAGAAGCTGAGACCCATGTTAGCTTCGGGTAAATCATATCATATTGAACAGTTGAGATATATCAAAATAGTAGTTGTTGTCACACGGAAATTCATCAGATCCAACCATGAAATATTCAATATTCAATTTTATTTAACAAAAACTATAAGCACACTTGTTGGGTTGTGTATAGAACATACCTCCCTCAACCTCACTAATTGCTCTCTTCTGCTCATCCAGCTGTTGCTGCACTTGTGCATTTTCTTCTTTCATCTGATTAAGCTCTTCGCTGTTGGGAATATCAAACTGGTCTTGCCGGGCAAGGTATATCTTCTGCTTACCATACTCCTTAAACGAAATCTTCCCGTTATCCGCAAGATTATCCAGTGCTTTCTGTATCCCTGCCTTCTTTAGGTTAAACTTTTGCAATGAATCAGCCACGTTTTGAGAGTTCAATGGCCTATTTTGCTACACAAAGTGAATTTTCAGATTATAAAACTAAATTAAATTTGAAGTCAGATTTCTTCTAATTTACCCTTGTAATTGTTATTTTCTGAAATAAATAAATAAATCAAATTAAGAACACAAGTTAAAATGTCACTTTGTTTTCTCTGCAATAGCAGCAACCGAACAAATTGAAATCTCTGCAGAGAGAAAGGGTTATTTACCTCATTCACGAAGTTCAGCACGATAGCTGCCAGTTCAACAACAAAGCGAGAGAGAGAAGAGAGATTTAAGCATTAATCAGATATAATAATGATGGTTGAGAAGCGATTAAGGACGAAGGACGATGCAAGTTGAAATTCACTATGAAGACTCCAGAATATACGTATCTGCTTTTAATATTCAGAGGAGATTTACCTTCGGCGCTATCGGATTTCGGGGCCATTTTCGATCGGAAAATGAGAGAAAATGCGCGGGAGACGTGTTTCTGAAAGAAACCACCCAAAAGAAAAAAGTAGTGTTGTGTTTGGCTCGGTGAGGAGGAAATCGAATAACTTTCTGGATACAAAGAAAATTTGGCTTCCTATTATTTTAAGAGAACATCAGTTCATACGCCACCGTATGCTGCACTCTTTTAATTTTTCTATAATATGATTTCGTTTTTATTTGTAGTTATTATTTTAATTTTCTGCGAGAAAAGGACATCTACTAAGGTGTATACCCCCATTTCAACAGAGTTCTCAATAATTTATATTTTTTATTTTAAATTATTATTTTTTATTTTAATATATTAATATTAAAAATAATTTTTTTTAAAATAATTATTATCACTGTGTAAAAACACAGCTCAGGAGAAAGCATATCATTCTGGTTTTTTTATTTTAATGTTTCAAGTTTTTTTCATTAAAAATATTATAATTTAAGTTAAATTATTAATCCTCACATCAAATTGGATCTTGAGCTACATCGGCTTTAAATTATACCTTATAGCCATATATACTATAAATATTGAAATGATAAAAAAATTCCGCTGTTAAAAGGTTCGTACTTCCCTGGAGTTCAAAATTGAGCCAACCAATTGCTTCATTACCCGTTACCTTAGCAATCATGGTCAATAGTCATGGTTAATATTTTTTTTTTTATATAGATTAACATGGGTGTCCGGACCAGCTTGCGCGCACCACGACTAATCCCACGGGTCCTGAAGTTAACGACCATGTAAGCCTCTAGTGGCCATTTTACTAACAACCAAGGATTCGAATCTGAGACCACAGAGGGAGCAAACTCCTTGATTTCAAGTCCTTATCATTTGACCACCACCAAGATGGTTGTCATGGTTAATATTATTAACCCCGATTCCATCTCTTGGATCAATCCAGTAATTTATTGCTACATGTCCAAACATTAGACTTGTTTTTTTTATACATAAGAAATAATACGAATCTGATGTTCTAATAAAAGGATGCAAATTTTATAGTGAGGTTCAGGTGGGGTCATGGAGGAGATGGAGAGACAAGGGTGGAGGGGGGAAGGGGTGTGGAGATTATTTTATATCTATACGATTTTTCATCTTCTAGTTAAACCGGTTTAGTTTAATTTGGTTCAATTAGTTTCAGAAACTTTACACCAAAACCAAACTAAATCAATTTTTTTTCCAGGTTTTTCCGGTTTTTTTTTATTCCATTTTTTCCGAACTAATCAGCTTTTTATTTTATTTTTTTCGTCCGCAAACAATGGCAACACCAGTAGCTGTAGCGCTGCTCCGCGGCAACCAAAACACAGTTGGTTTCAAAGAGAGCACCTTCAACCTCTCCCCATCACAAATAGAAAGAAATAAGAGCTTTTAATTCCAAAATCCAATGCCCTGCAACAACAACGCTTCTGTTCTCCACAATTTCCAATTTCCTTTGCCAAGCAAACCACCCATCGTCCCAAACGCCAAAACCGTCTCCTTCGCCTTAGAGAGAAACGATAACGTACGGAAAGTGGTTCAGATTATTCCGTGGGTTGTTGAAGGAGTTTACATTTTGTTGCTCTTTCTGCTTCCTTATGCCTCTGTGAGTAAACTCATCCTCCTCTTCCTCTTCCTCTCCCTCTTCTTCTCCTTCTTTAAAATTACGTCCCTTGTAATAAAAAAAGTGCAATTTGTGAAATCATATACTCCAGTGTGTTTGATTAATATAGGGAGATTTTGTGCTATCAGTTCAGAGACTGTATATTCTCTCATTGGACTTTCTCTCAATTTCTTCTTCATCTTGCCTTTTATCGATTCTGATATGTCCTTTTGGAACTCACTTCTGATCGCTAGTAAAATGAATAAGTACTTGTTGAGTATATTTTAAGCTTGATGGTTTCGGCAATGGACTTTCTGGCTAGTGGTCGGCATAAGTTATGTTGACGCCCCAGTTCTTCACCCGGTAAGAATGGTTGGCACTCGGTTCTGTACCCTTTTTACAGTCTAATGTTGGCGTCGGTGATTTTTCTTTCTTTTACCCGATGTCTGAAGGATTATTCAACTCTTTTATTGGGTGGATTTTCATGCTCGCTCCTTCGCTGTTCACCGATTGCAAGAGGGATAGGTACTGATGTTAACTGGGTGTTGTATGGGGCTTCCAGATGTTCCTTACAAACAGTATCCTTCCTTCCTTGCACACTCTTGTTTCCTTTTCCATTCCCTTTAAAACACCACTCCAAGATTACAAGATCTTTTAGGATGATCACTCGATTCGGCTGGATGGCTTTTAATAGCTATTGGCGGGGCTGCATGCCTGATATCAGTATTATGGGCTCTTTTCGGTCGAATGGATGGTGATTTTGGGAGCGCAACAGACAGATGGGGTTTTTTGGTTTGTTATTTAATCAGAGAGGTTGTTTATAGTTTCATTTGGGATATATATCTCTACATAATTTTCCAGCCGTGGCTGGGGTAGCTGAATATTTGCAAAATGCTCAGAAAAGCAAGGTTGATGTGGTGAGATATCTTGGATTTGTTCCAGTGGTGGGCTTGTTTGCTTATCTTCTCTGTTTGAATCTTGACGAGGAACTGTGGCCAAATGTAGTTCTTTGCTAGATTTGAGTTAGAGTCAACTTTACAGGTTTCAAACTAGTTTAAAGGCGTGTCTTTTTTTCTTTCAGCATCTGAAATTTAAGGGAACTTTGTATCCCTATTTAGTGTACAGTAAATATACTAGTGAATACGTGTGATTATTACAACGAAGCTCAATAGTGAGTTGGAGATGCTTTGCCTGTATATTGCTCCTTCTTTTGTTGAAATGGTCAAATCCAGAAACAATACGTGAAAGAACTTTGTTATATTGTACGAGAGGAAGCTATGTATGATCACCCCTTTCGTTTTCTTTTCATTTTTTGTTCAATGATGAGTGTTATGTTTTCAAGTTATATGAGCAGAAGTCAAATGTGATCGCTCCTTTGTTACATTGTGTTATCTTTTCCTCTCTTTTTTGGATGTTTTTACAGCTGAAACAAAGTTACAATTGGTGTCATGCTCAGCTTCAGAGAAATTATCTCAGCTTTTCATTTCATGTCATGTTATAGATTCCCGTGTGTGCGCTTCCGCTGCTCAAGGGAATTTGTTAGTATTGAGTGTTGAGCGATGATAATTCTATGGAATTTAGTTGGAGCATATACATCAATTTGCGGAAGATCGGATGCTTTGGAACGAACAAAACTGGGTGTCATGAGACAACCCTCCCCCGACGACACTGTTCAGTTCCGGAGACAGGAATTCAAAGTCGTGAGTTCAGATCGGGCTGCAGTTTTTCCAAAAGCATTTCATTTAGCTGAATCTCTTTCCAAGCCCAGGTCTTTCAAATTAGGTACCATTCCTTTAGTTCCACTTAAGCTGCAGGCAGCTAGATTTCACAATTTCTCTTGGTCACATTCAGTAATACAATGATGTAGAGTTCACCATGAAGATTAAAGATCTTGGCTGCAAATTCATTTATATTTCAAGACGAAGCATCAGTAATGTTTTGCGATGTTATAAATACAAGTCCCTAGCTCAAATAGAGTCAACAATTTCTACCAATGCAGACCTCCTTGCATTTGCATGGAGCTTAGAGAAGAGAGTTTCCTAATAGCAGCACTCCTATCAGAAAGTCTCTCCCAATCAGCTAGCAGCAGAGACAACTAGACTTTCTGCTAATATTGTACTGCAGCCCAAGTGGAACGAGGCGGTAAACGTACACCTATTACCAAACATTTGCAAATAATTTTTAAACATTTGCAATCCGACATAATTCAACTTCAACTGGGAAAATACCATAACAAACCATAAAACGTCAATACAGTTAGCACGAACATATCTCAACTTTCAATCATACCAGAAAGAAAGATCCAAAAGGATGTAAACGAGCTACAACCTAAACACAACAGCAAACTGCAAAACAAACCCCAATTCCGCACTCCAAAAAAATGTGACCATCAATTTCATTGTGCGGTAAGATTACCACCACTTTGCTGCCACAAATTGATGATATCCGTGGCCTGATTGAGAAGTATGATCATCTTCTTCTGGGATATCCACGGCTTACTCTCTAGAGTAGCTTTAAGCTCTTCCCATGCATCCTTCCTAGGCCAAAAAAAGTAAGGACTCAATGGGACAGTGCCATGTCCAGGTATCACCTGATCAAGAGCCAGCCCGATGTTCTTCTCCATCCATACAAACTTCAGCACTAGTCTTGGCTTTTCCACTTGCTTCACCACCAACTCTGCTTTCTGAAAAAAATAAAGAAAATCACCTAACGGAAACAGTATAAAACACATATAAACACTCATTAATAGTTAAAGAAAGAGAAGAATCTGGACCTCGGTTTCTTGGATGGGGACGGATTCTTCTGCTGCATTGGATGGTGGAGCATCAGCGGGTGTTTCAGCTGCGAGAGCTTCTGGGACTGCAAAAGTTATGTATCTTTGGTTTCTTGAAACGTGTCTCCTTTTCCGGTCAGAAAATGTTGAATAGCGTATCGGATTGGGTTTGGGATTGACAGAGATTGTGGCTTTGAATGTTTTGCAACTAGGGGTTTGGCAAGGCAGTGAATAGTAAGTGAACACGTTATTTACACCAGATTGAAATGCCATGGATAACATCGTCTTTGTGTTTTAGAGAGATAAACCGTCTGTAGAAGGAGAGAGAAAGACAAGAGACTGGTTATGTCCTGACCAAAACCATGGCGGTCTTTCTCTCCACCAGACGAGAACCACCTGGGTTAGGATAAGGCATTTGGGATTTTAGTTCAGGCTTCAGAGTCAGATGGGATAAAGTTTGGTGTACAGAAGAATGGGTTGGGCTTATGGACTTGTCTTCAATTACTAACACGTCTATAGAAGTTGGCCCATATAACATGAGAGCCCAGATATGGAACCAGCAACTTCAAGCTATCACTGTATACCAGATTTGAAAAAAAAAAAACAAAAAACAGATGAATATATAAAATCCAAAACTTCGAAAAAAATGAATGTACAGGGCTGAATTTGGACGTAATTTATGAGAGTGGAAACCTGTATATATATATACTCCCGTAATTCATATTTTAGTTCCTGCTTGGATTTTGGATTTTGCACACCTCGGCTAGCAACAATATAACATTCGAATTTTCTTTTTATGATGATTTAATTTCATCTGCACGATCTCGACTGGTACAGACATAGTTGTATATTGATGTAACTAAGTTATTTTCAGTTGAAAATTAATAAATTTTAAAAAGCAGTGCATTGTGTTTTTAAAATGATTAAAATAATTGTAATGATTATTTTTTAAAATATTTTTTATTTTAAAATTTATTTTTAACATTAACACATCAAAACAATCTATAACTATTAAAAAAATAAAAAAATTTAACAACAAGTTGAAACTTTGTCTCGAACATTTAATATGTGTTTGTATTGTCTCGAACAAATTCCCTTGAGCAGGGTGGAATCAGTTCTCATAACTTCAATTTCTAAGGTAAAGATTAAATGAACTCACAGGAGAAACAGGTCCTCGCAAGAGGTAAAGGCAAGGCAGATCTTAGCCAAAGTTTCCCCGTGATTGGATTTTACCCTTTTCCGTGCTTGCAACGAGACTGGACTGTGGTAGCTTGTGCTAAAGGAACAGGATAGGAAGAATAGGATGTCAAGTTAGAGAAAGTTGGGGACAACCTTGCACAATTTTATATTTTACGGATTGATTTAAGAATGGCTACTAGGCTCGGGATTGATCTATAACTATCTATTTTTGCATGGGATTTGGAGTTTAAATTTTTTTTTCACTTTACCTCAATTATTTTAAAAAATATACTTTTATATCCTAAACTAATTGAAATTTCCAAAACAGAGAAAATGATTAAATTACCTTAATTTATCAAAAATTCTTTTTCTTCAAGCACGATCTCTTTTCTTTTTTAATCATGATCAAAACATGGCCTAGTTTAATCAAAATTAAAAAAAAAACCATGATTCCTTTTCTCTTTATTCTACTATCAACCAAATATACTAGTAATAAATACAAGATTATAAATGTGCAATGGATATACCACATCTAAAAGATTAATATTTTGTTTAAATCATGAGTTAACTTGTAAAATTATATGATTTATAAGATGATTTTATATATAAATATTTATTTATTATATAAAATTATTTGAAAACTCAAAACTAATAAAATCAAATTAGAATTGATTAACATCAAGTAAACTCATGATTTTACTTTTGTTTTTATATTTTCATGTAAAATATAAATACTGCCTCGTTTTTAAAACAAAAGAAACAAACCCTATCTCTTTAAAACTTGCACTTGCAGCCCCTCGTCTATCTCTTCTTGAGTTTTTATTTTTTACTGGAATTGTGCCTCTTGTAGCTGTAATTTTTCCTTTTCTTTTCAGAAGTTCATGTATACGTTCTGATTAGACACTTAGGCTTAATCACTTCAATGTAAGTCATACCTTTAGAGACTGGCTTCAAGTGTGAGTGAAGGCTTGGATTTTTGCTTCTGATTGCTGGTTGATCGAAATACTGGAACTGAAATATATGAATCAGATGACATAATTAAGAATCCGGTATGAAAATACAACATTGATATCATGTATTAACTGGTATTATCATAGCTATTAGCTATCTTAAATTATCAGTCATTACTTGCTAATATCAACTACTCGCATTTTTATATTTAGCTGCGAAACATTTTGAGTATAAAAAAATAAAATAAATTATTTAAATTAAAAAAATTAACTAATTATTTAACATTATAACTTTATTTTTAAATATCTTGGTTTTGGAACTCCTCGCTAATACTTTCAGCTTATGCATGTTTCTCGAAGTTTTGTTTAGCATAACACAACATGATTAATTTTGGATTGAATTTTGAATGAGATGAATAAGATTGAAGACTAATTTCGTTGTAAGGCCATCAACTACAATTTTTAAGTTTTTATTATTCCATTTCTGCAATTAACCCTCAGTATGTTTCGGAAATCTGAGTTGCATCCTTTTGTCATTAATTTTATTTGCCGTGAGTGTTGCTCGACGCATATGATTATTGTCCATTTTGTTTATTCTTGTTTATAAATATTCACGCCTTCAATCTAATCGTGTTGTGTATGGGTTTTGTAGCAATGTTTATGTTTTTTTTTTTAATATGGAAATTTAATAAGAAATCATATCAATCTTCTAGAAATTCAAGAAAAAATGATGAGGGTGGTTGTTGTTATTATTATTGTTGGTTGTTGTTATTATTATTATTATTATTATTATTATGATACCCTGACTACATTTAATAAAACATAATGATAATTTTATAAATAATTTAATTTTTTTTGAAGTATTATTTTTTTAAAATAAAAAAAAAAGTAAAAAAAAAGTAAACTCGATAATATTCAATATAATTATCCTTTTTTCTTTTTACTATTTATTAGCAGGCAGCATTTACCCTCCCGCCCGCCAACTTGATAAAGTAGACAATTTATACACGTTAGGATATTGCGGATCAACTCTCGGTTTTAGAATCTATAAAGTCCATCCATCCTTTAAAAAATAAAAAACCAGAGGGAAGAAAAGAAAGGAAAGGGGCTATCCTTGTTTTCAGCCGTTGCTTGGATGATCCGTGCACTCTTGATCTTGCCAAGATCCTGTCAAATGAGAGATGGTCCTTATCGGGGAATTATGACAGACGTCAAACCTCAACCGCACAATATTCAAGATAGAGATTAAAATTTGCTCCAATGATATGCTTTCTGTCAATTTTATTTATTTATTTAATGATATTCCATTTGTCTTTAAGTCATCATCATCGATGCTTTAACTTTTATTTTATACCAATCAAATATATAAACTTTATTTTTTTTATTTTGATATACCAACAATTTTTATTGTTTTAATCAAGTAATTTAGTCAATTTTTTATTTTCTAACGTGTGCTTTTTGTTAATAATGTTTTTTTTTTATCAAAAATAAGATTTTTCAAAAAAAATAAATTTTTTAAACTAAATTAGTGTTCTTAAGAAAATTACTGGATGGAATTATAACAGAGAGACCATACAAAATTATTTGAATAAAACAACCAGTTCCATTTAAAAAAGGATAGAGGTTAGAGGTGTCACGTGAAGATAATAAATATTTTGACTATAATAACAATAATTAATTATAAAGT